AAATCAATGATGCATTTTTTTCAAAAATAAGTCTGTGAACAATCTGCTTGGTGTTCCTGTGATACTTGTCCCATGATTTGCCAGTGCAGCCCCGTGAATACATGGACGAAAATGTTTCCACCACCACCACCCTACGAACTCAAGATAGCATACTCCAGCATCCAGACTTTGAATAATTTGCACGCCGCACAGTGCAGTACTGGAAACAGCATTTATTAGACAGACAAAAAACAAAACAAAATGCCTGTCTCGATCAATCGCACATCCATAATGTTTGTATGTTGATACGCTTGTAAATAACATTAACGTAAAAGTCGAAACAACCTAGACTAGAAGTCAATTCACCAGTCCAGCCAGCTATGGCTCCCTAAGTTGCTTATATTTAATCAGATACTATTTCGTCATCATGCTTTGTTACCTTAGTAGGTTTATTGCTTATGAGGGTGTTTTTTTATGGCAAGATGGCGCAAACGGAAGTCCTTCGCAGGTTTATGGTTTCTCATATTTAAATCATCATAACTCTGAAGATAATCATTTTTTTTAAATTTTTTTTTCAAATTTATTATCAATATACATAACTTGATAAATACAAACACCAAAATAGGCTCTATTTAGTTCCCCTTTAAAGGGCTAAAACTGTATACAGAAATCCTATTTCAAGATACCCCATAATGCACTTTACTGTCAATCCATCATGCCTGGATTGGCTCAGCTTGATAATTCATCTGTGAGAGGGGAAGTGGTTTAGCCATAACACAGCACATACACCAATTATATATATACCGGTAGTATCCTAACAAAGAGTTTATTTTAACAAGCGTATTCCAATTCACACATAGAAATTCAAACTCTAAAATTTCAAATAAAGTCAACCAGTTTTCAGATTTTCAAGTAGCAGGTTGATGAAAAATAGTAGGTGGTTATATAAAAGAAATGCTAAAATACGAGTTAAGAATAGACAATTGAAAGAAAAAATGTACAAAATAGATGGTAAATTTGTTTTACAAATTAATAGCACAGATTGCATGGGGCCTAGCTGCATTTTTTTTTACATTTAAAAGCAAGATTATCAATTGTAGTCATACAACTAATTTAGACATGCTAACGTTACTAAGGAGGGTCACACATTATTCAGAATTAAATGTTATTTTCTTTACACTTTTAACGATATGGATCAACACCATAAGGATATAATGCACAGCATATACATTTTGTATATGCTCAGTAACACGCACAGTAGTGCAAAATTTGAATTTGTCTTCTATAATGCATTGCATGTATGCTCAATGACTTGCTCAGTGGTGAAACATTTGAATTTTTCTTCCATAATGCATTGCATATATGCTCAATAATTTGTTCAGTGGTGCAAAATTTGAATTTGCACTGCACATATGTCAGTAGTGAAAAATCTGAATTTCTCTCCCATAATGCAGTGTTTATATGCTCAGTAACATGCTCAGTAGAGCAAAATTTGAATTGAATTTATCTCCCATAATGCACTGCACATATGCTAAGTAACATGTTAAGTAGTGCACTATTTGAATTTGTCTAAAAATCTCTTGAATGAATCTGTAAAAATGAGTTACTAACAATAAAATGTAATCATACCAGTGGTTCTGCCATGATCTTTTCAATCTTCCTCTCAGCTTGTATTGTAAATTCGGCAAATAAACTTTGTAAGACATATTCTCCTGGTTTGACATTTGTGTCAATGGGGATGGAAAGGGTGCAGAAGTTATCACGATACTCCCTCGGAGCTCCCCACGGCAAAGTAGAGGAGACTGAACTACCGGTGGAGTTGGTTGCTAAACTCAGTGTTGATCCTGAAAAAACAAAAAAAGAAATAGACACACATCTATAAATATGCATGATCACCAGCTGCAGGGAGACACATGAATCATTATCTGACATTATCTTATAGCAGTATTACGCTTTGAAAACCTGAGTGGAATATGACTCAATATTACCAAATTACTTCTGAAATATATATATTCCCTGAATCCCTACTAACCTTTCATACTGTCATACTGACATGGGACGAAAGCATATTACATTGAGACATATTATATTAAATTATCATCACGATTCTTACATTTACATTTTTATTGGCACATATGGCCACAGATTATTATTTTAAACTTGGCACATAAATGTACCCGTAAGTTTGCAAATGGAAATTTCAAATTACAAATTCAGTATGTCTACTTCACAAGGCTTAGAAAAACAATTATCCAAAAGTGTGTCATGATTACATTTATTTTATGTGACAGGCATGGCTAGTTTTATATAAGAAGTGTTTCAATTCCTAGGTATCTGAAACTGCAGGTACATAATAACAATAAATTAAGTGTTTAACCCATCCAAAAACACTCATGACACTTTTAGCTCATTTGAATGCTTGCTGAAACAGATGAATTCTGAGTCTTGAGAAAATGCTGACACTGGGTGCTGAACGTACATGTACATGAAAATGATTTGAAATATCAGCTGTATTCAACAAGGTATCACATATTTATTTGCAAATATTTGCCAATAAACGACATCATGCAATGTGCTGGTACTTGGATATGTAGCCGCTCTCTGAAAAGGATGTTTTGAAAAATGTTTGATTGAACTATGAAAAAAAAAATTAATAACATTGTACCGGCAACACACACAGTGTAGGGAAGTAGGGCAACTATAAAATGATGTCATAATAATATGTCATATCAGGAATTTAGAAATGAAAGTAGCATTATGAAAGTACCATATGTATATAAATAAAAAAGCTGCTCACAGATAAAGTATAGATTTCTATTTTACTGAGCAATATTACGATTTTCCAGCAAATCAGAAATTGGCATATGAAAAATAAAAAAACTCACCCTCGAAATCGAACTCATAGTAGAGTTCCATAGGTGTTATGTCGAAGGGTTATTATACGCAAAGTATACATCAAGATAGGAGAATAAACAACGTAATCAGAGCCAAGTGAGAGAGACGTACATGTTGATACTGTGGTTTTTTACAGTGAACTAAATACTAGCAACTGCTTTACACAATACCTAGGAGGGAAAGTAGAAGCTGCCTGCGCTTTGTGTTTACATACATATATATGCGCTGTACATAGTCCAATACAGACAGATGGTGGCAGCTTTCAGCTATAACTAGCATGCATTGCATGTCCAGTGGATTCATTGAACTCTGACCTTTTAATCTTAGAACCCTGCCAACACTCTCAATGATCAGTTTAATTGAATTTGACATTAATTTATTGTAACTTCTATCTTGTATTCAAGTCTGTGATATAAAGGGTCAGTAATTAAACAAGATATGTTGATTTTGAACAAGAAGGTCGTTGATAAAATTGGCTTATGCATCACCTTGCATGCTTACATCACCTCTGTGCTATGCACTCACTGACGGATTTACATGTATGACTCATCAAAGATAGTCACTTGTTTTAATATTAAATCAACTTTCTTACATGCAAAATGTAGCCAGATGTCTTCTTTCAAACAGATTTACACATGAGTGCTGTTGGCACCGACTAATGGTTATGAGCACCATGCAGTCCTGAGTGTTCCTTCATGAGGCAATGGGGACACTACACTTTCTTCTGAATAGAATTTGTTAATCAAATAAACAAATATCCTCATTTAAAGATATTTATATGTCTTGCATTCATTGTATATGTCACATGGGACCTATATGTCAAACATTTGACACAGTATGACAACTATTGGACTCAACAGACATGATTTAACAGGGGCAACTTGCTTTTGATTAATAATGCAGAAAAATTTTGTAAAAAAATGAAATCTTGACATTTAAAGGATTGCTGAATGAGGAGTAAGAAAGTAAAACAGACGTTGACCAAAATTTAGTATGTTGAGAAAAACAAATAGCATTGGATACATGTATAAATAGGATTAAATCAGCTATACTGCCCTCCAGTGGTAGATACAACTGTAAGTGACAAGGCTGGGAATGTCAACCAGGTGAAGGCCAACATCAAAATAATGTCTAATCAAGTTTAAAACAGAGGTGAGGTCTCATGGAAAACTTAGAATATTAGGTACTTATTAATACTGAACTCTTCTAGATGTTGTCTTTTAGTATTGTAAACTACTTAATTTTACAAGACAGATTTTTGCCAATTTTGGAAGTCGCGGAAAAAGGGCTTGAAATATTGCAGTGGAGAAAATGACACTTTTATAATTTAAAATATTCTCAAATTGAGAAATAACAAATATTTTTCACAGTGAAAATTTAACAATTTGGATGAGAAACATTCACATATAAACGTTAGCAATAGATTCAAATGGTGATACAGATTAAAATTCAACTAAGGAAAGCATAAAATATGTTCATTTTATATTAGTCATCAAGTATATATTAATATACATGTACAACTTAATAATTACAATATTTGGTCAAAAGTTCATGTTTTGGGAAGCCAATCCTCACAGCAGCATAAGAGAATATACACTCACTCTCAAGAGGTTTCATGGTTAAAGGGGAAGTCAAGCCAAACAACACAATGACCCCCCCAAGAAAAAGCTCCACAAATGTAGGAGAATGCAATTTACAGTTTTTTTATATCACTTTTCATTCTCTAGATATTCAACATTTCATCAGTATTATGTAGTCAGCCATCTTGATTCTGAAGCAATTGTCAGAAATTGAGAAAATGATTTCATCTATAACATGGGAAATACTGATGCGAATTAGTTCAAATTTTCGTTATGCATATAACTCTTGTATATGATTATAGTAATGTAAATTAGAATGTTACAAATACACATAAAGTGAAGATATTGCCAAAAACGTTAAAAAAATAAAAATCGTTATTTTCATTGTGAAATATAGAATGACACTGTCCACTTTTTATGGTCAACAAGTAATATATCACCTATATAACCTACTCACAACGGTAAATTGTATACAATATAAGGAAATTTGAGCATTTGGTAGAAAAACATAAAAATAAATATTTTCAGTTCTGTTTCCATGACAACTATTTTATAAGCATGTTTGGCACCAGTACATGTATGCTACCCTGTTCTAAACTTTCAGCCAATTTAAAGTTCAACTTTTGAAGTTATAAATGAAATCATTTTTTCAATTTCTGACAACAGACTCTATGATGTCATACTTTACCCATAATCCTTTGCTGAAGAATCAAGATGGCAGTCTACATAAATTGATGAAAAATTGAATATCTAGAGAATGAGAAGTGATTTAAAAAAACTGTAAATTGCATGTCCTTACATTTGCCGAGCTCTTCCATCCAGGAGTGTTATGTTGTTAGCCTTGACTTTCACTTTAAGGTCAAATATTTTACAATTAATAATGAAGGCTATATAATGTATAGCAGAAGGTCAAATGGTGATATCATTGTAGCAAATAAGACAGACTGGAGAATTTTTATACCATAATATTTGTTTAATTGAGCAGCATATGGACAAAAGTATAACAAGGAATTAATGTTCTGCGAAAAAATACTAGAAATCACTAACTTTTGCAGAAGTGAAAATATTAATTTATGTTTCACAATTGAATGTCAGACAACCATTGCTCGTCTGACAAAGTGGAATGTCTTCATGTAGATTTATGATCCATATAAATTTTGCTGTGCTTTTGACTTAAAGATGTACATAGTATGTATTGACTGAAATCTGAATATTCACTCATGGCTGGCAATATTTTGAGATGAATTGTTGCCATGCTATTGGTCAAAATGCGGTTTGAATGACGCACACAGGACTTTGGAGAAAGGTGAATAAGATATTTATCATACATGTAATTTTGTCTTGCATGTACACTATGGCCGTCGAATATACAAATAATGTAAATTAATGGCGATAAAAACAAATAGATTTACATGTACATTGATATAAAAAAAAAAAATAACCGGTTTAAGTTTGACTTCATATTGCAACTATGAGGTATGAAATCTCAATTGATGTATAAAGCACTGCAACAACCCTGTGGTGAAAGTAGTTTGCGGAATTAGCAGTTTCTTAATGGCAACATACCATGCATACATCCAGGTCATGCAGACAGTGAATTGGTGTATGTTGTACAGTTTTGTCCATGTACTGTACCACATGCAGATTTGACAAGCTGTTTCTATTAAATATGATAACAAAACAATTACAGGTCAGTTTTTTTAACAGGATTTAATGCAAACCAATCTAAATTTAATTGATAAACTAATAAATCTACAACAGAGCTTGATAGGGCACCTATTTTGAAAGCAATAATGCTTGTACATATTGTAATACCAATAGTAGAGGACAAGTTTGTATTTTTTGAAAGGCACAAAGGGCAAACTTTTTGGACATCTTAGCAACTGCATTCAATGCCTCCTAACTGAAAGTTGAGTTGAGGTTAAATAATTTATGATTATTTATACAAAATATAAATACCATTTTAGTGCAATTGTCAGTGTTTTACCCATCTTTCAATGGGACAACCACAACCTATTAAGACCCAGAAAGAAAATAATCACATTTCTGGTCATCAGCAAAAGAACTTTTTTTATAAGATTTTTGTCAGAAAAAAAAAATTTCAAAAGCACAATTTTTATGAGAATACAAATTTAAAAAAAAAAGCACACTCTCATCATATTAAAAAATAAATTAACCTGCCACATTTTTTCCCCTGGGGTTTATAAAAAATAGTTTACTGTGGAATACATTACTTTCGCTTGGAATTTATTTATGCTATTTTCACTGAAGAGATACTTCAGTGAAAATAAAATCTAGTGAATATATCGTTTTTCCTATATTTCCTATATTTTAAATGTATTTTGACAAACATTTTTAATTTTGGCTAAAATCTTGGTATCACATCATGCAAGGGATCACAGCTACATTGTAATAGACACATTAATCTTCCTAATGAAGCAATGTAATGTACACATGCACTTCAGACACTGTCAACTGTTGATAATAGCATACCAACATTACTTGGCCAAGAATTTTACAAGTATATTTATAGCAATCAGTATCACATTTTGGTTTTGTGAAAGCCCTGGCTGGTATCAGCTAGGTTAAGAGAGATAGTTGTCTCAGCATTATTCAGTCTGTACAGTGTAGTAGTGTGTATATTTATTAGCGGAAGGTATCATTACTGGTATAAAGAATGAACTATTGGAATTTGGCAGGCAGGAACAAAAGGTCAGGGTTTATAGTCAGGAATTGATATATATATAGAATTCAGGAGCCTTATGGTCTGACCCCATGATTCCACATATAATACATGACCTATAGAGTAAATATAATGTTTTGCTATAATAGTTGAGAGAGTGCTTATGTAGATGGCTATGAAAACAACTGCATATAAATGCAATTTTGGTTATTTGTGCTATTGGAGATGAGCTTATATAAATAAGACAATTGATGCTTTGAGTGGTTTAATTATACATTTGGCTTCATCATTTGGCATATATAATTTTAGGTACTTTTCATCATTAATTTTGAATAAAATTGTCATCATTTTTCATTATTTGTAGGTCTTGATCACATTTATGTCACTTTATTTTGATGTGAGAAAAATCACTTGGGAGTTTAAAAAGTTGAATATAATATGATATGCGAAAAAGACACTATCAACACTATTAATTACATATGCACAAATATTTTCAATAACAAATTGTTGATTATTATCTCTATTCACATGGCCAGTATGCTAGATAGTGAATCACAGTGGCAGATTGAAACGATAAGCTTCAGTACACATACATTGTAGGTGAACTGGTGAACTTTGGATATGTTTTCCACCACCACTGTTTACATGAATATATCAATGAAATTACTGGCACAAATAAACAGCCAATACTTTTCTACTGACAATTGACCCATAACCTATAGCATAATAGTCATAGATATTGTAAGCAGCTCAATTTT